GCTGTGGTGTGGGTGATATGGGCTGTAATTGGGGGACAGGGGCTGTAGTGGGGATGTTATGGGGCTGTAATGAGGGTATGGGAGCTGAGGGAGGGGGGAATGGGTACGGGGAGAGGAAGGGGAACATTGGCTGATGAGGGGGACAGGGGCTGGGGAAGGGGGACAGGGGCTGAGCAAGAGATAGGGGCTTAGTAGGGGGACAGGGCCTGAAAAAGAGGAACAGGGGCTGAGAAAGAGGGACGGGCTGAGAAAGGGGACAGATGGGCTGAGAAAGAGGGACAGGGGCTGAGGAGGGGGACAGGGGCTGAGTAGGGGGGCAGGGCTGGGGTAGAGGGACAGGGGCTGAGAAAGGGGACAGGGGCTGAGGAAGGGGATAGGGGCTGAGGAAGAGGGACAGGAGCTGAGGAAGAGGGACAGGAGCTGAGTAGGGGGACAAGGGCTGGGGAAGTGGGACAGGGACTGAGGAGGGGTACAGGGGCTGAGGAAGTGGGACAGGGGCTTAGGAGGGGTACAGGGACTGAGGAAAAAAAACCAAAAACTAAAGTGTATTCCTCCCTCCCTGAGGCTTGCCTTGGAGGGGTGGGACAGGATCTGGAGCCTGCAGTCAGTGAAGTCGGCCTCTCCTGATGATGTCAGGAGGAGGGGCATGACGTCCTCTGCTCTTTTCCCAGACTCCCCAGCGGACCTGGGAGAAGAGCAGTGGAAGTCACACTGCCTTCGACTGACATCACCAGGAGAGGCCAGCCGACTCCACTGGCTGATGGCTGCAGGGAGACAGGTGAGTTGAAAAATCTGAGTCCCCAGCCAGAAACAGGGGATTTGGATTTTTTGCACCCCCCTGCTCTGGTGCCCTAAGGCGGCCACTGGTGCCGCCTTATGGACATGCTGGCCCTGGACATGGGACACTGTACCCAGACCACTTCAATGAGCTGAAGTGGTCTGGGTGCCTACAGTATCCCTTTAATTGTTAAAGGAACACTCTAAACACCATAACCACTGCATCTTACTACAGGAGTTATGGTGCCATCATCTTATTTTGTCAAGGCACAAACCTTCTGCTAGCACTTGAACAAATATGTTGTTAAGGCTTAACCTACAGGAGAGGTAGGCAAACAACGGCACTCTAGATGTTGTGGATTACACCTCCCCCTGGTGCTATGCCAGAGCATGTAAGAGCATTGTGGGAGATGTAGTCCACAGCATCTGGCCTATCAAAGGTTGCCTACCCCTGCCCAGAGAACTTGCCAATAACTTGAATGGGCACAAGATAAAATGAGAAAAAAAAATCTGTTATCTCCCTCCAACATTTGCTTGCCACTCTATCAGAGCACTTGCTAGTGATAAGATAGCAGCATCCCATGGATCCGCGCACAGCACGAACATTGCATGCATCCTCCCATCTGCATTAGAGTGATGGGTAAACCTTGCTACTGCAGCTGAGCACATCCCGTCCTACCGGGGTATCATAGTTAAAGCAGTCTATATAAACTGTCATATTGAAGGAAATCCATGCCTGGTATATAGAGTTACTAACAGTTCAGAATTTAGTGGACAGGTCCCAGTTTTGGCCTTCTGCACCATCAGAGTGCTGTAGTGGCTATAGTTTTAGAAGTCCGCTTTTGCCCTAACAATGTAAGTAGGCAAACTAAACTGTTTTCTAACAGTTTGACTTCTTACCTGGGGTCTAGCAGACACTTCCCTGTACCTCTATGAGAATTGAAATTAGTTCAGTTGACACTCTCAGCGAATAAACTGGGTCCGCACTGCAGGGCTTAGCTTAAAAGACCTCTCCAGACTGTAAGAGAAGAGGAGGCGACCAGCAGATCCCAGGTAAAAAGTCTAACTGTTTCTAAGCAGTATAGCAGGAGTGCCAGGGAACTCCTTAGACGGTACCTTGAGTGTTCGTTTAATTTGGTGTGATATACGTAAAAAAAGTTGAACGTGTTGAATGTGTGTGTTTGAACTTGAAGGTGATTGTGCTTATGTCTCTGTGGTTATTTTGTATGTATGTATAAAGCATTTGGTAGTGTCTGTGGGTATAAAGGGAATTGGTGCTTGAAATCGGTGGTAGAATCCAAAAATGTTGGATAATGCGTAATAGTGAGAGAGATTTGTTAAACTTTTTTTTTTTCTTTAGCTTTAAAAACTTTTTTTTGGCTATCTGCCATTCAAATCGAACGCTGAAGAAAAATAAGTAGAAGCTGCTGTGCAACAGTAGCCCATGCTGAAAATTGTAACAGATGGTCGATCTATTTTACATATACAACAACCTTAAAAAATACACATCACTAAAACAAACACAGAAAAGTATAGCATATTAATAGCTATAACAACAAAAACAAGACACTGAAATCTGGATATATGCGACCCTAAAAACTCAACTTATTAAAAAAAAAAGTAAAGAGTCACCCTGCTCTTGTGAAACAAAAACTATAAATAATTTTTTTTATTGAAATATATATATATTTTTGTTTACTTTAATGATCTAAAATTCATTTATAACTATGGTTTAAGATATCAATGGCAATAAACTAAGCTAAGAATTTTGAGAGTTGTAGACCAGAACACCTGGTGACCTGTCACCCCTTAGACTAGAGTGGGAAAAAATATATCGACAAAGGTTCAACTATCCCAGGGGCTCGGATCGTGGAGAATGTAGCAGAGGACGTGTCCGAGCAAGGTTCACCTCCGGTAAGTCCTTTTCTTTCTATCCCTCTTGCCACTGTTCAGATTGAAGGTCGTGTATCTGCTTTTTTCCAGAACTGGGCAGACGTTTCTTCGGACACTTGGATTCTGCAGACAGTTCGTGGATACCGAATAGAATTCATGGAGTTTCCTGTTCGATCTCTCTGCGCTGCTCCCTCGCACGCCGTTTACTGAGGAGGAGCCGGAATAGGACGTCATATTCCGGCTCCCATAGACGGCCCTCGAGACAGCAGAGCAGGGAGATCACAGCTTCCTCGCCGCCGCTGATTCTAACACAGCCGCATGCCTCCCAGCAGCCCCACTGGACCCCAGGTAGGAAGGCTGGGTGGAAAATTTTAATTTATAATTGTAATAATTAGTGAGTGTGTGTGTGTCAAATCAGTCAGAGGCTGTCATTGAGTGTGTGTGTGTGTGACTATCAGTGTGTGTCAATGAGTGTCTGTCAGTGTTTGTGTGTGTCAGTGTGTGTGTGTGTGTGTGTATGTGTATGTCTGTTAATGAGGGAGTGTGTGTCAGTGAATGTGTGTGTGTCAAATCAGTGAGTTTGTGTCTGTCAGTGATGTCTGTGTGTGACTGTCAGTGTGTATCTACCAGTGTGTGTGTCAGTCAGTGAATGTGTGTGTCAAATCAGTGAGTCTGTGTCTGTCAGTGACGTCTGTGTGTTTTTCATTGAGTGTGTGTGTGTGTGACTGTCCGTGTGTATCAGCCAGTGTGCGTCTGCCAGTGAATGTGTTTGTGTCTGTCAGAGTGTGTGCTTAAAGGGTGTGCACTACAGGCACCCAGACCACTTCAGCACATGAAGTGGTCTGGGTGCAGTGTCCCAGTCCTCTTAACCCTGCAAGTATAATTATTGCAGTTTCTGAGAAACTGCAATAATTACCTTAATGGGTTAACTCCACCTCTAATCTATCAGAGGGACTTCCGGGTGGTCAGGTGACCAAAAGTCACGTAACTAATGCTGGACGTCCTCACGCTGTGCATGCGCACATTCTGCATCTGCTAAATGAAAGAATTGATACAATGCTTTCCTGTGGGGAAGCCTAATGCAAGCACAGAGGAGGAGCCTGATCCAGCGCTGGATTCAGGTAAGTGACTAAGGGGTTTTAACCCCTTCAGTGCTGAGTGGGTGGTGGGGGGGGCTAGAGGGAGGGGGGCACAATAGTGCCAGGAAAACAGCTGTTTTTCTGGCACTATAGTATCCCTTTAAAAGTGGAGTCTAAATAGGAAGGGGTGGGTTTTTAATCGGGAGGAGGTGCAGCCTTGACAGGAAGGGATGGGTCAACTTTAGATTAGGGTGGTGCCCAGGTTTAGTCATGCCTAGGGCAGCATGGAACCACAAAACACCACTGTAGACAACCATAAGCTCTATAATTCATTATGCCCACCATGGTTTCAGTAATTCCCTGCTAAACGATCTCTTACATTTTGTGTTAAAACCAGCTTGAGTTCTGAGCGGGGACCCACCGAAGAGCAGGCTATTTCAGCTGCTGTCCGTTCTCAGAATACTCTTGCAACCCGTTTTTTGCTCTCCATTAGTTTAAAGGGTAATCTAGACGTGGACCCCTTGCTCACGGTGCCTAGAGAGATATTATTATTGCCATTTATATAGCGCCAACAGATTCCGTAGCGCTTTACAATATTTTGAGAGGGGGGTGTAACAATAAATAGGACAATTACAAGAAAACTTACAGGAACAATAGGTTGAAGAGGACCCTGCTCAAACGAGCTTACAGACTATAGGAGGTGGGGTATTTGAAACATTAGGACAATAAATATCAAGTAGGAGTGAAGCAGAGCTGGAGGAGAGAGCAAAGCACTGTCCCTTAGGAGAGAGCAAGAGATATCAGCTATGCCTCACTGATGATGCCTAACAAGGCTGAAAAGATCGTCTGGGGTTGCTGTATCACTTGTGCAGAGAGAACTTGCTGGCATTTCGGATCTGGACTGCCTGTATGGGTGGGACCAGTGTGATATGCTTCAGATATATTCTCTCTGTAATGGCACAAGATGAGCTAAAACCAGCTTGAGTTCTGAGCGGGGACCTACTGAAGGGCAGGCTATTTCAGCTGCTGTCCATTCTCAGAATACTCTTGCGATCCGTTTTTTGCTCTCCATAAGTTTAAAGGGTAATCCAGACGTGGACCGATTGCTCACGGTGCCTAGAGAGATATCAGCTCTGC